ATTTTGACCGTAAATGATGTGTTACGGTCAGAATTATGTACGTAACAGGTGTTACGTAAATGTTTCTGATAAATTCTGACCACATAACCCCCTTTCCATTTAAAGCTTTGGAGTTGTATTCAATATGGCCACCATCAGGATGGCAACTGTGCATGTAACACACATCAAACTGTTTCCCCCTTGGTCTAATGTGTTCCTGATATGGGCAAATTAATTTTGGGTACATTCTATATTCTGGAGAAGGGGTGTTAATGTGACTTTTTTTACCACCCTGTATTATCATATTCTGAATGGTGTGCATAACTATCTGCAGAAAAATATCCTGGTTTGCTCACTGAGTGAACTGTTTTATCAGGACAATGCACGAACTCATACTGCTCACCATATTGCATGCACATTACAGTAGTTCAGCTGGGAAGTATTGCCACACTCCTCTTACAGCCCAGATCTCATTTGGAGCAATTTTCACTTGTTTGGACCTTCTTGTAGTTCTTTGAGATCAGAATTTCAGCACTGAAGTGAAGCAGACTGTCATAGGATGATTCAGATGAACTGACAAATCTTTTTAATGGTAAAGCTTTCCAAGCATTAAATGCTGGGATAAGTGTATAAATATAGCAGGAGAGAGAAAAACAAATGCAAGTTACCACTCCTTGACTTTTTTTTTCTTTTATTCCATGTGAGATTAGCCGGGGGTACACTCTGTAGAATTGGTACCACTTAATCGGCACAAAATCGTAAGATTCGATCTCTCAAACTTTTTCTATGAGGGCTTGTTATAAGAGAGGATAAGGACGGTGAAGTCTCTATCCAACATCAGGATAATGACACCAGTTAATCAGATTTATATTACGCGGATTAACACGTGTATCGAGTCATGAAGGAGATGATGAAATATGTTTGATTCAGATAACGTAAGAGACATTTCTTTAACAATAAAAACAAAAATTTAATGAACAAAAACTAGATCATACAAAATTGAATCTTCGAATAAAACTATTAGAGAGCTCACAATTTCTGTTAAAAACATACTACCTCAAATCATGATTCTTTTTGTCTTCTTCTTGTATCTTTAGTTCTGGATGAATGTTCTTTGGCGGCACATAAATAAACCTTTTTCTTCACTGTATTTATCGACTTAATACTTCATTTAGGAGACTTCAGGAATCGGTTATGGGCGTTGGCTGTCAGGAGATGATGTGGAATACGTCCTCCTTCTCTCGAATTTCGTGGCATACTCCTCGAATGATACAAAATTCTTTGTTTCTGATGAATTTTTACCAATCAGCATCTCGTATTTTTCCACATGAACAGGAAAAAGGGGATTTTACTGAGGGGTTGACAGTTTCCAGGGTGACTAAAATTTTTAGGAGATAAGGAAAACCAAAAAGGATGTTCAACTTCCATTGAAGGAAGTGACTTTTACCAGTTTCCTTCGTTTTAGAAAATTTTCCTATCAAAATCAATGAATATTTTTGTCTAAAATTTTACCATTTCGATTTAAATTTTTAATTAATCACAGGGGTGTGATTCACATCTCAATCCATATATACAAGTCCTGGTTTGACTTGAACCACTCTCATATGTTTGAGACTTGCTAATTCTGATAACATCCATGATTACAATGTGATGATTTCATGTAGTAATTCACACTGTTATATACTGGTATTAACTTGGCAGAAAATTGCTAGAATGGAAATAAAACCTGTACATAGCTTGCACCACATACTCTACATCTAAAGAGTGGCAGTCACTGAAATTATGACACCTTCTAAAATGCATACTAGTAAAGATCTCAAATCTTAAAATGTTTGCTTCATTTCCATTAGAAGTCATTGTAGATATAAGTGAAATGGAAATATGGAATATTTTTGAGATTTAGATTGAAACCAAACATAGTAGTTTCCATCTCAAACTTTATGCTATGTTAAAAAATTTTGTACTTTCTAACAATCATTTAGTGATATTATTACTAATATTTTATAAATAAAACAATTATATATATCTTATTAATAATAGTTATAAGTCTAAAACAAACTCAGAAAAAATGAACATAACTAGTGGACAACCTACAGTACCTGTGGGATAACTTTTTTCAATTCACTGCCTTAATTTAAAATTAAAAGTTGGGATTTAATGTTTATCAAAAGTTATCTGTAGTCTGGACTACATAAAATATATTTATATTTATGCTCCCAACTCCAACACAATAAATGGATTACAAAATTTCTTTGTTTACTGTGTTTAAGGTGATAGTAAATCCAATTGAACCCATGGTTTTATGGCTACTTTGTCTTTCAATAAATATCCTTAAACCATTTGAAGGATTGCAGATGACTCATGGCAATAACACCTTGCCATTGTGATAGCACTATGTTGAGATCTCTAGAGAGAAATGAAGTGTTCTACAATATGAATATTCATGGTTCAATGTGCCAAACATTGAGATATATTGCAGGCACTTCATCTCTCTCCAGAGATATCAGCGCAGTGCTGCCATAATAGAAAAATGTGTTCATCTGGTATGATGCCATTCATTGCCATTTTAACATGAGCAACAGGAACATGACATACTTCTCACATGTGATCTAGCATATACTCTATGATGGCAGCTACTGATGATGGCACTTGACCTGTGGGGCATGCTGGATATTTGAAATATTGTAAAACTCTGATTAAGAAAGGAATAAATGAGATACATCTTTGGAGTCACACAAAAGTTATTACAAAATGTTCAGTGGATACTTTTACTGGATACTACAGTGGAAAATTTTGCAACAATTCTGTTGCAAAATTTCAAAGTTTCAAATAGTCTCTTATTGACTCATACAAAATGAAATGATAGGGAAATTTTAAAACTGAAATCTTGAACAAATCTTCAGTTCCAAAACAAAAAAAAAATTTCTTGCATATCTATAGACCCACTTCTATCTAAAAACACTAATTCATTCAAATTCACAAAGGAATCTAGGAGTTCAACTAATAAAAACCTTCTTAGCATTATATATGTTACCGCTAAAGCTCGAAAGCCGTTAATGTGTACATTACCTAGCTAATCTGCAGATTAACTAGGGTGATTTGTTAAAGTTGCGAAAATTGTTCCATTTCTCAAATTACCTAGGTAATGTGCAGAGTATCTAGGTAATCTGCACATTACCTACTAGGCACTCCGTAAAGTGAAAATAAGATCTTTGCCACAAATAAATGTACCACAAATAGGTGTGCTTGTCACAAAAAAGAATTGCTATGTAATTCAAAGTGTCACCAATCTTTAGACTACACTAATAAGTAAGCACAATTGGTTAATGTTGCCTATGGTGACTAAAATGGCGGCTTGTCTCTGATTCCAGCAAACAGAAGAAAGGAAACAGTGGGGACGCACGTTCTAACCTAACCTAACCTAACCTAACCTATTCTAATAATTTGGTTGGTAATAATTATGGTAATTTATTAGAATAGGTTAGGTTAGAACGTGCATCCCCACTGTTTCCTTTCTTCTGTTTGCTGGAATCAGAGACGAGCCGCCATTTTAGTCACCATAGGCAACATTAACCAATTGTGCTTACTTATTAGTGTAGTCTAAAGATTGGTGACACTTTGAATTACATAGCAATTCTTTTTTGTGACAAGCACACCTATTTGTGGTACATTTATTTGTGGCAAAGATCTTATTTTCACTTTACCGAGTGCCT